AAGGCAGGGCCGCAGCAGGCCTGTGCTGTGTCACCGTCCACACAGCAAGGAGCCGGGGAGGGAGGGCAGAGGGGCGATGAGGAAAAAGAGAGGTGGCGGGGGCGGGCGGGGGTGGTCCAGGGGAGCCGGGCGGGGGCAGCTGGCTCTCCTTGCTGCGCGAAGAGTCCCTGGGAGGGGTGCGTGGGGAAGTGCTCAAGCACTCAGCCCGAGATCAGACAAACCTGGGTGTGAACCTCAGCTCCAATGTCCGTGAGCTGTGTGAACTCAGGCACACCGCTTAACCTCTCTGAGCCTGTTTCTTCATCTGTGTCAAATGGAAATGACATGAGGGTCCACCCCTAAGGATTATGAATATGGTCTCTACAAGGCGCCTAGTACATAGTAGATGCTCAATAAAAGGAAGCTGCAAGCATTACTCCAAAGCATCAAATTAATGTACCAACTCCGACCCTTGTGGTGATTTATTTACAAAACCCGTGTCTGGTCTCTGCATCCCTTAGTGATTCAGCGGACCTTGCTCCCTCCTGCTGGGCTTGGAACAGGCTACAGCAGGACCAGTGGGAAGGTGTGAGTACGGGCCAGGCAGAATCCCCTTGTGGAGACGCTCTGGGGGCTGCTGCTCTCCCCATTTCACTGGGCCGGTTTTCTAGCTGGGAGAGCCAGGCGGGAGCAGCCCAGAGTGGTGTGGTCACTTCCTGGGGCGGGGGAGTGGCAGTGGCTAAACACTGGCACAGGCTGAGCATCCCCCCTCTATTCCTTGAGGAAAAAGGTGAACCCCAGGTCTGCTGAGCCAGACACCAGCATGGAGCCACACACCAGCACGGTGCAGGGTCTTCTTGCCTGTCCAGCTCAGTGGACAGAGAGGGGATGGGAGAGCCTTGCCAGGGGTTGGGCTCCTCCCGCAGCTCTGCAGGTCATGGTCACTGAGGCAGGGGAATAAAGGCCCAAGGGCTCTGGTCCCAGGGCAAACCCAGCTCTGGGAACCTTACCCCCAGCCACCTTCACCCCGATGACCACCGGGTGCTCCCTTCATGGCGTGGCTGCACCAGGCCTGGGCAGCTCCCCTGTGGGCTCCTGGCCCCCGGAACTGGAGGTAGAAGGCCCAGGGCTAGAGTGGAGCTCCTCCTCGGGGGTTCTGTAGTAAGGCACGAAGCCTGAGGCACATAGGATGTGGCCACTAAGGGCAGCATCGCTGGAGAGAGGGGCATCGAGGCGGCTGTCATGGGAGTGCCCTGCTGAGGCCAGCGGGGTGGGGCAGCAGGTCGGTGAGGACCCAGAGACGAAGTCCGGGTCTGCTGAGGCAGCCTGGGTCAGAAGGAGACGGTGGTCAGCCAGGCTCCCAGGTTCAGCCCACACACCCAGGACTGGCCTGTGCCTGTACCACCACAGTGGCGGCAGGGGAAGAAGGCAGGGCCTGTGCTTGTTCTCTTACACTAGGAAATACCCCGCGGTGATGTCACTCACTCCAGAGCTCCCAGCCCGGAGGGGTGTGTCCAGGATTAGAGCCCACTGTCCCACCTCCTCCATCTCTGCAGTCAGGGGCAAGGTGCCCAGCTGCACAGAGCTGAAGGTGGCTATTAGTAACACCACAGGGCACAGGCTTTGGGTCAGATCTCAGGTTTGCTCTTGCGGGCGATGTGTCCTTGGCCAAGTCACTCAGCTTCTCAGAGACTCATTTCTCACCCATAAAATGGGAGTAATGATCAGAACTATCTCATAGGACAATTATTAGGATAAATGGGATGACGCACGTGAAGGATCTGTCTGGGTGCCTAGCAAACCGTAAGGACTGAACGAATGTTCCTGTAGGGGACACCAGGCTTAGCCACATTGTGCATAATTCACACGGTGGCTCTAAGAGTAGTTATTACTGTTCTTTCTCATATGGAACCTGAGGCTCATGGGGCTTACACACATTCCCCAGGCCACTCTCCTAGCAAGTGGCCCAGGTGGCACTGAGTGAGGTCCTCTGCCTCCAGCCTCTGTGCTCTTAGCAAGGACACACTGCTGCTCCAGGAGCCCCAGCAGACCTCAACGGGGATGTGGGGGTGCTGGTCTGGCCTACTGGGGTCTGGGTCCCGGGGACAGAGGTCTGAAGGAGGCAGCGGGGCCCAGGGCTGCTCCCCGCACCCTTCTGGGGCCTCCGAGTGTGGCCATCCCCACTCACAGAGTTCTTGCTGCTGACTGTTCTCCTGCAGAAGTGGCCAACCTGTACCTCCATCTTGGCGGGTGGGTCTTGGGAGCCCCCACACAAAAGGCTGGGAAAACTCTCCTCCTCAGAGTGGTAGTAAGGGAAGAACCCGCTGGGGGGTTCTAAGTCCTCCTGGAACGGCGCCCCCCTGACACCCCAGTCTCCTCTTTGGTCCCTGCAAATCTCCGGCTGCAGGGCCAACTCTTCTTCAGACAGGAGATGCCCATAGGTGCGGAAGAAGGGCAGGTACTTCAAGTCCACCAGGGACTCGTGGGAGAGGTCGAGGTTGCTGAGGGGCTCGCTGCTGCTTGAACTGGTAGCCTGCAGTTGCTGGTACAGAGGCCTGGATTCCTCCTCCTCCAGGCAGCTCTCAGAGGACAAGACTCCAGGCGCATCCCCATAGCTCTTCTGGGCCGTCTGGGAAGAGAAGGGTGTTCCATCTGCTACTGTGCCCCAACTTCTCTGGCCACTCCAGGTTCCCCCCGCCCCCACCCAATTCCTGCCTACATCAGAGGCCAGAGGGGTCTTTCAGAAGCACAAACCGGAGCATGGCTCTCCTTTGTGAAAACCCAGAATGGCTCCCAGCCATGATCTGGTTACCCATGAGCCTCGCAGGACCTGGCCCTGCCAGTCCCTGCAGCCTCATCCTACATCCTTCTCTCCCTGCTCGCTGCAGTCTGTACACACTGGCCCTCTTACCATTCCTCAGTCACACCAAGCTGGTCCCGTTTACAGCCTGCACCCAGCTCTGTTCACTTTGGGACTCCGGGTCACTTTGCCCTTCCCTTTTCCCACGTTGGAACGTCCTTGGCCTGTGGTCTTCCCATTCTGTGCATGTGGTGGTCTTATCTGTCCGGTGCTCCTGGCTCATTGTAGGCACTCAGTTGACACTGTGCCAACAAATGGTTGATCTAACCTGCTGACTCTCAGCCCATCTCCCATCCCCTTCGCTTTGTTCAGCCTGGCCTCACAGACTGCGCTCTGTCCCTCAATTTGCCAAGCAGGCTCCTGTCGCAGGGCCTTTGCACATGCTACTGTTCCTGCCTGGAATCTCTTCCCTCCCCTTCCTTTTTCCTTGATGACAGCTTCTTCAGCTCTTGGCTCAAGGTTACTTCCCTTGCTTCCCAGGTTTAGCTGCATCACTCTATCATCGATTCCCACTGCCCTGATAAGCTTAACGAGAGAGCCCCCGTTCCCGCACCGTGGAGCATTTATCTGCATGAGTCTTTGATTAATGTTTCTCATCTCACTAGATATCAATTCCATGAAGGCCAGGCCCACCTGTCTTCTGTATCTTCCGGGTCTGGACTAGCCCCGGCATACAATAGATACCAAATATTAGGAGAAAGAAAAAACGCTGGCAGGGGAGGAAGGAGGAAGCCAGAAACAGAATATTAAAGTGGGCTTGGCCAGGAACAAAGTCCTTGCCAGACTCAATGTTAATTGAGAGAGAGAGAAGCCATGTCTTGGGAGAAGGATGGGTGATGAAAAATGAGGAATGACTTCCTAGGCCCAGAGGGGACGCAGAGGCCCAGAGCACCTGTTAGGGAAAAGCCAGCCCATTCTTTACCTTTGCCTGAAGGGGCCAGACCCAGAGCCCCTGGGGTGCGTGGAAGACTCTGCATTCCATAGGAAGGACCTGTTGTGGTCTGGCCTCTGGCTTCTTGGTCCCTGCTGGGGCTTCTGGACCTTAAGTCCCCCTCACCCACCACATGTCCTGTATGGTCCCTGCTTGTCCTAACTCCTTGAATACAGCTGGGTCACCGCAGTCCCATTCATATGTCCTAACCTGCAGTAAGTGACTGCTGTCGCAGGACAGTAAGCTCCCGGATAGTGGACACCATGTACCCCACCTTGAGTCCCGGGGCCCAGCTTGGGGCCAGCTTTGTGGCGTTGCCACCTTCCCCAGACACTCCACAGGTCCTCTGCGGTCCTCTCCCAGGTAATCCTAGGAGGCCCATGAAGACACACTTACCTTTCCAACTTTGCTGTGCCAGGAGACAGGACGGGTTAGTGGCGGTACTAGGGTTTGAGCCCGTCTGCCCTGTTCCAAAGCGTGTGTTCCTTTCACTGTGATTTATGTGGTATTGTGTGTTGAATTGTGTCTTCTATGAGATGTGCTGAAGTCCTGACCCTTGAGACCTGTGCATGGGACCTTATTTGAAACAGGGTCTTTGCAGATGTCATCAAGATAAGGTGAGGTCACACTAGATTAGGTTGGACTTTAACTCCAGTGACTGCTTGTGCTTATAAGACCAGGAAAATCTGGACACAGACACGGGGAGAATGTCATGTGACAATGGAGGCAAACATTGGAGTGATGCTGCCACAAGTCAAGAAATTGTGGAGTCAGCAGAAGCCCTAAGCTGACACAATCGAGCCTAATCTTCTAACTGGCTAAAAAGGCAAAGCCTCCCTTGGCAGGTCCCATCCTCCTGGCAATGCCAAGAACTGTCAGTAACCACCATAAGCGAGGAGAGAGGCAAGGAAGGGATTCTCCCTCTGAGCCCCCGAGAAAGAACACTGCCCACACCTTGATTTTGGACTTCTGGCCCTCAGAACTGTCACAGAATAAATTTGTGTTGTGTTAAACCACCCGTTTGTGGTGATTTGTTACAGTGCCCCAGGAAACGAACTCATACTGGTTGGTCGAATGGCTGGTTGGTGGGTGAAGAGATTCGGTACAAGGATGAAGAATGGCAGAGCTATCACCCTGGTCCCCTCCTGTGCTGGGTACACCTAGGCCTTACCCTTCCAGCCATCCAGTGGTGCCGGCCCGGGGTAGATCTCCCTGGGGTGGGCCCGTGGCTCTCCCGCACCTCAGTCTTTCCCTCCTGGGCCTCGGCTCCACTTCACCGGCGAGTCCTAGATTGAAGGAGGCCAGATGTGCCTCCACCACCTCCTCAGAGGGGCTCAGCAAAATGGCACATGCACAGTGCCACTTACGCTATCCCTCAGACAGCACCTGCAGCATTTGCTCTGGAGTCAGCAGAAGCCCCGAGCTGACACAATCGAGCCTAATCTTCTAACTGGCTAAAAAGGCAAAGCCTCCCTTGGCAAGTCCCATCCTCCTGGCCTCCTCTTCCCCTGGCCAATGCCCCTCTGCCTGTCAGAGAAGATTCCACTATGAAGTCACAAGGCCTAGTGCCAGGCAAAAAAGCCAGATGGCTCCGTTACCATGGAGACTCTCGCCCAAGCACCCAACACCTGAGATCATCACCTGCCTCTTAAGTCAGCTTAATCCAGATCTCCCCAGAGACTTGGGGGAAACAAAGGAGAGACAGACATCTTCGGGAATCCGATCGGCTCTCCATGACTGGCCAGCGAGCTCCCCCGGGCACAGAGTGCCCCAGGGCCTACAGGGGCAGGTGAGGGAGGGTGCCAAGCATCCACTGTGCTGCCCGGGGCTGTCTGGACCGCTCCTTACCTGCGTGCTTCAGCCCCTCCGCTCTGGGTCCCTGCCCTTGCCATTTGATGCCAGCTGCCTCTCCTCCGCGATTCTTCCCCAGTCGCCCGTGACCCCAGAGTGAGACAGGCACGGAAGGACTGGTTATGCTGAACGCCTGCTCTCTCCCACAGAGCCTCCATCCGCAGCTTCTCTCCCAGGTCTCATGCTACTGCTCAGAGGGAAGAGACCAGCACTTGCTGTCACCTGCCAAGTGTCAGCTTCTGCATTGGGCAAATCCCACACATAGTCCTCACTGTAGACTTTCAAGTCAGGAAGTACACTACTGTTAGGCCATTTTACAGGTCGAAGAGCTGAGCCTCAGTGCTAAGACAGCCTGGAGGAAAGGGCTGAGTTAATCTTCAGCCTCAGGGCTTGAGATTATTATCCCCGTGGAAAGAGAACGAAGTGCAGTTAAGAATGTATTGAATAATAAATGGCCAGTAGTAAAATAACAGAGTCAATTTAGGCTGTTAGACACTGAAGCTGAAGTCCTTAATCACTCTGCTATTGAAAAATGATTTTAGGTGCCGGATAGATATTTGTATTTTAACAGCAAATATATTAAATTTAATGCATATTAGAAAAATATGATTATGTTGAAGCCATGATTTTACAGATATTTTTGCTTGAGACGGTGTAGATTTTTTTTTTTTTCAATAAAAAGATGAGTCTGTTTAAATACCTATAAGGTGAAATCGGATATAGCAAGAACAGGCAGGTGATGTGAGAAGTCTGCACTACAGGACTCTGCGTCGGTAACTATTTTCTAGGCCGGCCCCCGTGAGCATGTGCATCTGTACGTGTGGCTGACCACGCCGAATGTTACGTAGAGAATCGTGAATCACAACTTGCCCTCTTCATTCCTCTTGTGCTAGACTTTGCCCTTCTCCTCAAGTAATAGGGACTAAAACCAGCCACTCAGGCCTTTCTGTGGGGCTGATGGTCTTTACCTGCAAGAAGTCTGAGGTGACTTTTAGAGAGCCGTCTCCCCGTGGCTGCTGTGTAAGTCTAGGGTTCTGGGGTCGTGTGGCAAACCCTCAGTTATCCTAGCCAGACCAGAGCCCTGGAGAAAACGCCCCCGATTCACCGAGCAGCTGGATCTTACTCAAACCAGAGCTCAAGTGTGTGGTCCAGCAGAACCCCTACCTCTGTGAGCCCATCCCCTGGGGGTTGCTGCCAGTTCATGAGGCGTTGGCCTTTTGAGGCTTCACCAAATCCTCACTGGATCCTCACACCTGTGGCCCGGTGGGTCTGATTGGGCCCAGAGATGGGGACTGACTTGTCCAGGGTCATAGAATGTGGAGCCAGGCTCGGCACCAGGACCTTTTAAATGTAGCCTGGTGTGTCACCCTCAGAGTCCCAAGGGCAGGGACCATTCTGAAGATACGCACTCAAGGTCAAGGTGGCGAGGTATCTTGTCCCAAGACCCTGACTCTCAAACCGGTCCCTTTAGCCCCTGCGGTGCAGGAGGAGAGTGTTTTCTGCTCAGACAGACCACTGTCTAGATGGGGAGGGACACGAGCCCCACCTCATCTGCATATCAGGGACCATCTGTCTATCCTGACAGGAGCAGGTGAGGACAGTGTGGGAAGAGGTTTGAAATTCAGATTGTCCCAGACTCCCAGGGACCCATGCTCCCCGCACTGCTGAGTAAGTACGTTTGGAGTTTAGAGAAAACAGAGATTTTGGAGACAAATGCTCCCCAAAAGGCAGAGGAAGCACACAGCAGGGACAAGGCCCAGGGTGCAGAGGCTTACCTGGGGACTGCCCGTGGTGGTCAAAATGGCCCTTGTGTTTTAGAGTGACGCATTTATCACCCAGAAGCCACACTCAGGGGTCACTGCAGTTGCCTTCAGCCATGAGTCGCTCACTCAGGGTCCATCCAGAGGCAGAACCTTCCCACTCTCCCTGGCATCTCCCTACCTCCTCTCCTCCCAAGATTTTCTCACTTTGTTTTACAGAGAAAAGC